TGTGTGTGTGTGTGTGATCAGCTTTTCTATTATTCTGATGAAATTCTCACGAGATGTTTAATGATGTGAGCATAGACCATTTTCTTTAGTGCAGTCAAGCAAATTTCTATGATGGTCCTTCCTGCCTGAAACCGGAGGGTAGCAGGCCTGCTTTGGCCTTCCTGGGACCCAGGGTAAACAGCAGCTGTTGCTCCAGGCTAAGGCGGGGCTTCTGGCCATTCAAAGTGAAAACTGAAGAGGGCTACCGAGGTCCTCGCTTCACTACTGATCACTCAAGGGAACTCGACCTGTAGACAGCACAATTTTCTTCAGTGCAGCCATAGGACAGCTTTGTCTAGCTCTGTGGAGTCTCCTCCTAGTAACAGCAGGTGGCCAGGCTGCGTAGAAAAGGACCACTGTCCAGGTGTTGGGCCCTCACTCAGTGTGAACACTTGCTTGCCAGGTTATTGCTGCCGCCTACTGTGTGAGGCAGTTTACTGGCAGGGGCTGGTCTTAAGGACCAGTATCTGATGCTGCCTCTGTAATACACTGCACTCAGAGAGATAAAACAAGGATTTCAACAGGAGAGAGGGTCCAGCTTGCCCATCTGCCCCACTCGTCCACTCCTGTGAGCCCAAATGACTGCTCTGGGCGGTCTGGTGGCTTAGATGTTTTAAAGCAATGGCCATGAGGTCCACGTCCCCCACCGTGTGGCCTTGCTACCCTCTTGGCCCTGGGTCTGTGTGGTTGTTCACCGTTCATCTGGGGAGAGGGACACTACACCACTGGCTTGGTCATCCTGCTGGTGGAGAATCCTTCATGGAATGGTGCAGATGTCCACTGTATGATCCAAGTAGTGGTCTTGAACTATGAACAGTAGATTAATATGAAATGATATCAGTTATGCTGGGGAATAAAAATTTACAAGCCCAAGACTTAGTTTCCAAACGCGGAGTTAGGGCTGTACGGAAGCAGCTGTAGTTCACTTCTCACTCAGTGATTCTTTCCCTGTGAAACAAGGAGAAGACATGGATTGTCTTATGACCACTCACAGCAGGAAGTTCATTTGCTTTCCAACTAGCTACCTCACTGGAGGGGCGAGGGCATGGCACTGTGGCTGAGCAGCAGGACCGACCTACCGAGGGCAGAGACTTGCTAACCACTGACCAGGAACAGCAAACCTGAGCCCGACACCCAAATGAGCTGAGCTTGTGCCTGGTACCCATCCTCTGATCCAAGATCAGCCTAACCTGGCACCTGATACCAGCCTTCTGGAAGATGACAGGTGGGGCCATCGGGTTCAGCCATTGAAGAAGACCCGAAAGGGCACAGAAAGGGGCTGCGTCCACTGCCCCCCTGCCCCTGCAGCACTCTGCTTCTCTTCTTCTTTTCCTTCAAAGCACCCTTCTCTTCTTCCTTCAAAGCACCCTTTTCTCCCTGACCTTGCCTTTTGCACATCTTCCTTTTGCCATAAAATGAATGGTAACATTTACATTCATCGACCAACAGGCAGATTCACTGATGAGGGTGACAGGGACCTGTGAGACGCTGCTGGCCCC